GGCAATACATTCATTTTGATTAATATTCTTCCCATTAAAGATAATTGTAATTTTTTCCATTTTTCCAAATCTGTTTCAATTTGATTTCTTAGTTTATAATTATCTTCCTTCACTGTAATACATCTTGAAGTTAATTGGATGCCCAAATATTTCACTTTCTTCACTATTTGAATATCTAACTTCTCCGTTAGTTGCTTCTTTTGTTTTTCTCTCATATTTTAACTATAATTTTTGTCTTTATTTATTTTCAATCCAGCTACTTCTTCATATTCCTCTATTTGCTCAATTAGCTTTAGGCCCATTTCTATTGGTTCTTCCATAATGAATACTAAATCATCCGTAAATGCGTGTAGCTTATATTCTTCTTTTTTAATTCTCATCCCTTTTATTTCTCTATCTTGTCTTATTTTTCTGTTTAAAATTTCTAGAGTCAAAATAAATAATAGTGGAGATAGCGGACATCCTTGTCTAGTTCCTTTTCTTATATCTACTTTCTCTGTCATTTCACCATTTATTATTACCTTTGCTGATTGGTCTTTAAATATAGTCTTAACCATATTAATGAATCTATCCCCAAATCCATCTTTTGTAATTGTAAAGTCATAAATTGCCAATTCACATTATCAAATGCTTTCTGCGTGTCTAAAAATAACAATGCCATTTGTTTCTCTGGATGTGCCTCGTAATATTCCAATGTATCCAGTATAATTCTTATATTGACTCTAATTCATCTGTTAGGCAGAAAACCATTTTGATCTGAATGTATAAATACATTTAACAACCTCTTCAATCTTTCCACCATAATTGATGCAAATATTTTATAATCTGCATTTAATAATGAAATTGGTCTATAATTCTTTATTTGTTGTAAATCTGTTTATTCTTTTGGTATAAGAGTTATATATTCCTCCATCCATGAATTCCGAACCTTGAGTTCTATTAGTAAATCATTAAATACTTGTAACAGTGTATTGCTTAGTACAACTTGCAACTTTTTATATAATTCTGCTGGTAATCCATCTGCTCCCGGGTTTTTTCCATTCTTCTGCTTTTTAATTCCCTCCATCAATTCCATCATTGATATTCTTTCTTCTAATGCTTTTTAAAATTGTTCTGGTATTTTAGGAGTCATTACTTTTTCCAAATATTGTTCTATTTTTCCTTCTGATATCTGCTCTTGTTGATATAATTTCTTATAATATTCCTCAATTATTATTTTCTTTTCCTCATTTTAGTAGCATATCTTTCCCTCTTGATCTAATAATTGGGTTATCAATTTCCTTTCTTTTTCCTTCTTCATCTTATATACTAGCCATCTTCCTGGTTTATTTGCATTTTCAAAAAAAATTGTTTTGATGATTTTATTTTCCTTGCTAGGTCTTCATTTTCTATTAAGTTCAATTTATGTTTTTTCAAGTCCATTAGGTTTTTGATTTTTTTTTGTTTTGTTGATTTTTTTTCAATTCTTCCTCTAATTTCTTATATTCCTTCTCCAATTTCTTTTGAGCTTGTCTGTTCTGTTTGTTTCTTTTTCCTGTATAGGTCATTGCCAAACCCCTTATATATGCTTTACTAGTGTCCCACACATTTTGCAATGATGTATCTTCTTTTCTATTTTCTTTAAAGAAAAAAGTCAATTCTTTTTCCATATATTGTATACAGTCTTTCTCATTTAATAAACTTTGATTTAATGTCCATCTCATTCTTTTTCTTTGTCCTTTCCATATCATCATTGGATTGTGATCTGCCCATATATTTACTTCTATATCAATCTTGTCTATCTTGGATATTAAATCTATGGACATCCACATCATATCTATTCTTGACCATAACATAAACCTGTTTGAATAAAATGTGTATTGTTTTTCCTTTAGGTTTCTTTTTCTCCAAGCATCCTATGAGCTTAGTTTGTCTACTATTGTGTGAAATGTTTTCGGAAGTGTCTTTCTTGGTTTTTCATTCACTTTTGTAGATTTATAGTCTATCTCATTATGAACAAACACATTAAAGTCTCCTATTATGCAATTTTCTACATTTATATTCTAGTATTTTCCTGTGTAATTTTGCATAAAATTCTTCTTGATTTTCATTTGAAGCATATATACCCACAAGTAATATTTTTTTGTAATTCATTACAATTTCTAATATTTATACTCTTCCTTCCTCATCCTCAAATATTTATTTGGATTGAATTGTCTGTTTGATATAAAATACTACTCCTCTTTTACTTTGACAAGCCAATGTTGTATACAATGTCCCCAATTTTATTCGCTCCAAAAGTTTTTTATGTTGCTTTCTAATATGAACTTCTTGTAAGCATATAATTTCTAATTTTAGCTTTATTAAATATTTTCCCTCTTTTTATTGCTGAGTTCAGTCCATTGATATTCAAAGATATTATTTTAATTTCTTCTTCCATTTCTTATTTATTTACTTGTTTTGTCAATCTAGTCGTTCTTATTTCCCTTTGTTCTTTAACTTCTTTTGCTCTTGCTCCTTCTCTTAACACTCTCTTCTTGTTCTCTTGTTGTCTCTCTTGGCTGTTCTTTCTTTTCCTCCTGTCGTCCATCCCCATGTTCATCTCTCAATCTTTCTTCCTCTTGAACATTTATATGTTGTTTGTAAAATAACTGCTTTCTCTATTGAGTCTAATGTGTATCTTTGTTCTTGCCAGTTCACCAATATTCCTTCTGGAATCAACCATCTAAAATTTGTTCCTCTCTTTATCAAACATTTCATGAGATTTTAATATTTTCTCAGGTCTCTCACTCTTCTTGGAATTTGTTTCAGTGCCACTACTTCTCTCCCTTTGTGCTTTATCGTCGTGTTTCTCATCAATTGCAATATCTCTGTTCTCAATGTTTTCTTAGTAAATCTGACATGAATTTCTCTAGGCAGATTATTTATCGCATATCTTGTGTGCACTCTATATATCTTGTCGATCCCATTTAATATCTCTTCCTTACTTTCTTCCATTGCTTCTGCTAGTATCTCTGCAATTTTCTCTGCTAAATTTTACTAATTAGTCTTTATTAATGGCTTCCGCTTCTTCACTGCTATTCTGGAGGTGGGGAGGTAGCCTTATTCCGCTCCCTTCCTCTACTCTTTGCCAGTTCTCTTTAATTTAAATAGTTCTTAAAAGTTCATGAGAAAAATATTAAAAGGAATCTTGTTTCCAAGACCTCACTCTCTCACCCAGATGATCACCTCGCTCTTCTTCCTTTTCTTGCTTGTGGCTGCCCCAGCTTTTGACAGCTCTAATGGCTGCCTTCCCTCGCTGCTGGGTCAGAGGCTGATCGCCGGCACTTCAGGGAACTTGCGATTTCCCTGTCTGTGCCAGCCTGTGCCTCCATTCTTCGCTGTCCCTACAAGTCAGCTATGTTCCCTGGGGATCCCCAAAGGCGGCTGGGATATCGGTGTTCTCCCATAGCCCCGGAATCCACACTGTACCACCGCGATGCAGTGTATTTTATATGGAAAATATTTTGGACTTACAGAGTACTAAGTAAAGGCTGGGACTGACCCATCTAGATAACTGATTTTGTTTTGAAAGAAATGGAGATTGAGTGAAATAAATATCTGCTGGAAAGAAGGCAGTGTGGGAATTTGAGGGAAGAGTCTTATTTATCAAAGCATACTCCCAGGATCTTGGACTCTCTGGATGCTGGATTCGATTGAGGCATGATTGTTCACCCTACATTTATTGTCATTATGGCTGGAGTTGAAGGAACAGCTCTGGAAACAACAGAATTTCTTAATGTGATGGCCTTGGTATTCCAAAATATTTTGAACTTAATTGATGGTATGGATCAGAAAACAGAGCGTATTTTGCAAAGAATGAGAAACAAAGACCAAAATGTACATGAACTGGTGGAAGCAACAGAAAGATTGGATGAAATGGACCAGCAAATACAACACCAACAGGGAAAAAATATGGATCAGAAAAATCAGCAAATAAAGCAACAGTTTGATGAAGAGGAAAACCAGATAAAGGACAAGCAAAAGGAGTGGAAAGAACAGAAGGATTGGCCACATCAACAACTAAACCAAGGACTGGAGCAAAAAAGGGGACTGACAAATCAGCAGACAAAGGATGAAATACTGAAGAAAACAAAACAGATAAATCAACAATTGGAGAGGCAGGAAGATACTTTTGATAAAGAGATTAGGATATGGGCAGATAATTGGGAGAATTGGCAGTACAAAATTCTACTGGGAGAAATGTTTAGAGTGAACAAAAAAGAGATAAATGAAGATAGAGATAAAAATGAGTGTGGGAGTTGAATTAAAAAATGGATAAGAATTGAAGCACTAAAAAAAGGGAAGAGATGAGGGGTAAAAAAATTGCCCTTTAAATATTAAAGTAGCCTATTATAAGCTAGAGAGGCAAAAATAAAATTAGGGGAAATATTAAAACACATTTTTTTAATAGAACAAATAAAAATAATAGATTAGAAGTTTAGAGATGTTAGGTATTTTTTAAAATGTATATTTAAACAATGTAACGGGATTATATAAATCTGATTAATGTGATAGAGATAATAAAGTTAATGTGAATTGGATCAACATGAATTATATCTAGTTAAATTTGTTCATACTGCTATTGTGAATTGGATTAATATGAAAAAATTGATAAGAATTGAAGTACTAAAGAGGAGATGTATAAATAATGAGGATTATATAAATTTCATAAATGTTAAGATTAATGTTAGCATGAATTGGATCAATATAAATGAAAGAGTTAAATTTGTTCATATATAATAGAGAAATGTTTAGATAGAACAAGAAAGATGTAGATGAAGGTAGAGATAAAGATGAGGAGTTAGGCATTTTTTTAATATGTATGTTTGAATAATATAATGAGGATTACTTAAATTTGAGAAATGTGATAGGGATTACTAATATTGTTATTATGAATTGGATTAACATGAATGATACCCAGAACCAACTCTGTTCACACACAATATATATCAGTGGTAAAATCTAAAAAATTTCACTACCGGTTCTGTGGGTGTGGATTGGTAGTCATGTGACTGGGTGGGCATGGGCATGGCTTGGTGGCCATGTGACCAGGTGGGCGTGGCTTGGTGGCTATGTGACCAAGTGGGCGTGGCTTGGTGGTCATGTGACCAAGTGGGCATGGCCAAGTTGACGTCACTTCTTTGCCCTTATGACCTACAAAAAGAAGATATACCAATTATTTCGTGCATTTAATATTTAAATAATAAATGAAGTACAGAAAACAATAAAAGAGGTACACAAATACTTACGTAAGAGCAATAAAAGTGTTGTCTTTGATGTCACTTCTTTGCACCAATGATAATAATGACCTACAAAAAGAAGATATACCATGATATCCAAATTTAACCATTTAATACTTAAATAAGAATAAAAGAAGTACACGAGACAATAAAAGAGGTACACAAATACTTACATAAAAGTGTTACTCTTTAATTTTAAGATGTTTCCACATCGTTTTTTCATTGGCACTCACTTCTACTTTTCTTGAGCTTGATTCTCGGATCATCGGCTGAGCGATGGTGTTCTCTTAACCACTTTTTCACTGCAGGAATAGGGTCCCATTTTGGAAGAGGTAGTCCAGTAATATTGATAGTCATGAGGTTGGTTAAATTAGAAACGGTTAGGTGACTTCTACTCTCTGAACATATGATGTTCATTTTCAAAAAAACCCTTTTCGCTTCTGAAGAACTTATAGCAATTGTTCTGACAATATCTTTAGCTTTTTAATACTGTCAGGAATTGCATAGTTCTTCGAATCTTTTAACATATTCTCCACAAAATCTCTATAGTCGTTGATGTTAATGTTGTAATTGAAAATGTCACCAAATGTGCGCAGTTGTTCTTCAGCTGCTGTCCCTGAAACTACTACTTCTGCAAAATCCCAGTACTCTGGCACCAAAAAAATGTAGAAACTGTAATTTATTCATGGTGTCCTGCAATTGGCTACCTGTTTTTAAATGTTCATAGTCCATTAGTCTTTTCTGCAAATTTGTTATGATGCTTCCTAAAAGTCTTTCCCAATGAAGTCCAACAAATCGATGATTTTCTACAAAGTTTATATTTTTGAAGGTTTCTGAAGTAATTAGTCCATCAACTTTTCTTTCATATGGACCCTTTCCCTTTGTAAGCAGTTCAAATGCTTTCATTGATCTTCTCACCAGTTTTTCAGCCTTTATTATGTCCGTATTACTTGCTTGCAGTGCAGTTGAAAGAAGTGAGATTTCTTCCAGAATATAGATCATCAATGCCAAATCATTTAGAAAATATTTATTTTCCAGACGGGCAGCCATACCCGAGTATTTTGCATTCGCATGAAAATACTGATGTAGCGCTGGATAAGCACGCCAATACAGCTAGGGTTGCCCATAAGTTACAGGCAGCCCATCTTGCCCCAAAAACTCTACCAATCTTTACGATGTTAATGTCAAGTTCTTCAGATATTTTGTCAAGTTCAATTCGGTTTTTATTGGATTGCTGAAAAATAGAACATATCTTATCTATAAATATTTTAAAATGATTTACTTGCTTTATTTCCTTTATGGTGTCATCTAAAACAAGTAGGAGGCGATGGTTCAAGCCATATGATGATGTTTGGAAACTCTTTTGCTTTCTAGTGCTCACTCCAGATTTTCTCCCAAGCATAACGCTGGCACCATGAGAGCAAAACGCTATTAAATTTTTTTGTAGGTAGTTCTGGGTAAACCCAACTTTGCGTAAACTTTCCAGAACTGCAGAACATATTGTCTCTGCATCTTGTTTCTTCAATTCAACAAGCTCAACAAAAATTGTTGGTGGGTTCTCTGAGTCCTCAACTTTTACGAAAACTATCAAAACTGGTTTGCAGGATACTGTTGATGCTTTGTCAATGATCAAACATATTTTCAGATTCTGTGCAATGATGCTGGTAAACATTTCGGTTTTAATTTCATTTGCAATGCACTCAACTATTTTCACAACTGTTGGCCTTGAATGCAATCCTATTCCCAAATCTACTCCATTTTCAGTTTGAAATTCTATCAATTCTTCTATGCTTGAAATTGGTCTACATGCTTTTGCCAGGCTGTAAACAGTTTTGAACATTTTACAAGTGGTGCCTAAACACTTTTCAGATATCTTGCCCATAGCTTTTGTTATGGCATCCTGCTCCCCTTGTTTTACGTTGTCTCTACAAATGGTGTGCGATTTCCATGTGAAATGTTCTCTCATTTTCTTCCTTAGAGACGCATGCTGCACTTCCTTATTTTTCCCAGATGCCTCAATCTTGAAATGCTTCCATTCTTTGGACACATGAACACTGCTCTCTATTGTGAACTCATGTGTCACACAGTACTTGCAACCTAGTTTCTTGTTTGAAACTTCCAATCCCTCATACTTCTCTTGGAAGTTGCTGTACTGTTGCAATGTCCAGCAGTCAGGAAGAATTATTTCAATTTTGGGCTCGGGTGACTCAATACTTGACTTGCTGCTTTCTCCGAGTCCAAGTTCAAGTGGTGGAAATGGTGGTGCTTGTGGTGCTTGTGATAGTTTTGGATCATCCAAGGCCAATTCTGATGGTTGTTGTGCCAGTTTTGGTTTCTTGGCCAAGAAACCGACCAAAGTCTGTTGCCTTTTCATCCTTCCTGTTAAAGGTTGCTACTGCAAAAGGAAAAAAAGGAGCTTTGTTAGCTGAGGACTAGTGAAGTGGGAGTCCCTCACAATATAAAAGCATACAAAAAGCAGGAACCTCACAGAGCCACAAAGAGCTCAAAAATCAACTTTCACATTCAACACAAAAGCAACACAACTGGGTCACACACAATGCAAAAGCAGCTGGACTTCACACAAAATGGCCCCTGCAACAAGCAGGAACCTCATAATATCATGAAGGGGAGGAAAAAATAAAGAAAAATATTAGTGGAAGTTTAGAATGGAAGGGTGTAAAGCAATGTATCACAAAGTCAAATAAGTTAGGAAAAGAAATATGAAAAATAGACACAAAGAATGAAAATAGTGGTAAGTTTGAAATGTGAGGATGTAAGAAACTGATACTTAGATGGGATGTTGTTTGATTAATGAAGTGAAGTTAGTATTAAAAGAATAATATTGCAATTGCATATATATATGTGATTAGAATGATTGTATAAAATTAACATGAATATTAATTAATACTATGATAGTATAATTATGATGATGATATTATTAACAATATATGTTTAAGTGATTAAGTTTATTTCTTTGATTTTTGAAGGCAATTTAAAGAAACTGTATGGTTATAGTTGAAAGACATTTTAATTGGAAAATACACCATGTTTTATAGGTATTGGCAATATTATATGCAACAACGAAAAGAGAGGGAAATGGAGGGGAGTGGAAAGGAGAAGGAGAGGAGGGGAGAAAGAGTAAGGGTAGAGAGGGCAAAGGAGAGAGAGAAGTGGGGGAGGGGAAGAGTAGAAAGGGAAGGAGATAGAAGTGGAGAAGAGGGAGGGGAAATAGAGAGGGGACAGGAGAAGGAGAAAGGGAAGGAGAGGGAAAGGGGAGTAGAGAAGAGAGGGAGGAGAAAGAAGAGGAAAGAAGAGGGATTGTTGTAAAAATGGGTGAAATATGGTGTACAGAAGAAAAGAAAACAGGCAATTTCATATATTTTTTTTGAGGGTTATACTATTGAAATTATAATGGAAAATAATACGGATGCTAAAGCACATTGGTTTAGTTGTTATTGCATACTTGTTAATATTTATATGAAAATTAAAACTTTGTGTAAAAGGTAGGAGTAAATAATATGGAATAAGGAAAATGGAATGTAATAATTAGGAATATGTTTGTATGTATTGAAATGTATGATACTCAAACATCGCGCAATTCACCTAATGATATGTATAAATTTAAAAAAAATAATAAAAACTTGATTAAAAAAAACCCAAGCAGGAACCTCAGGGAGCCACAAAGAGCTCAAAAATCAACTTTTACACTTTACACACAAGCAACACAAAAGCAACACAACTGGCTCACACACAATGCAAAAACAGCTGGACTTCACACTAAATGGCCCCTGCAATAAGCAGGAACCTCAAAGAGCCACAAAGAGCTCACAAACCAACTATCACACTTTACACACAAAACACACTTTACACACAAAACAAAGTTGTGCAGCTTTGTGTTGTTTTGTGTGTAAAGTGTGTTTTGTGTGTAAAGCGTGATAGTTGGTTTTTGAGCTCTTTGTGGCTCTCTGAGGTTCCTGCTTGTTGCAGGGACCATTTTGTATGCTTTTACATACAGTGAGTCAGTTGATGTAAAAGCTCACAAAATGTCCCCTGCAACAACAAGCAGGAACCTCACAATCACAGAGAACTCAAAAAACCAACTATCACACTTTACACACAAAATTTCACATACAGCTTTGTGAGATTTTGTGTTTGTGGAGTTGAGTGTGAAACACTACAGAAACACACAAAATCTCAGAAAGCTGCACAAATCTAAAAATATAAAAGCAGCTAAAACCATTTTAAATGGCTATTTCCTAAAAAAAAAATTCCTAAAAAACCCCCCAATTAACTATTTTTTTTAAAGCAAAAAAAAACAAAACAAAAACCACTTACTTACCCAATTGAAGGCAGAAGGCAGGCAGGCAGGCAGATTCAGTTGCTTGCCAATGAGATGGATTGCAGCAGGCGAAGCAAGGCAGGTGTTCTGCGACCAGCGGCTCGAGATTCAGTCCGAAAAGCAAAGGTAAGAAGCTGGAGGCTGGGGGGAAGATTGGTAGTTAACTAGGTGGTTTAGGCAGGCAAGCCCGGGGACCTGGTGTGTGTGTGTGTGTGGCGCGCTATGTCGCAACCGATCCCTGGCGGCTATGCAAACTATGCAGCCCGGGAATTGCGGGGGGCATGCCAAACCGCAACCGGCAATGCTTACCTCTTTGAGTGAGTGGCCGTTGACAAGGCATCTGAGTGAGGCATCCGAGTGAGTAGGCGTCGGTGAAGCGAGTAGCTGGGCCGCATGGCAAAGGGGAACTTATATAGGTTGGGGGTCGGGTAGGTGGGCAGAAGCAGTGAGCGACCCAGAAGTGGTGAGCGGGCGACGGAGCGACCAGGGCCGGGGCCATGAGGGATGATTGCTACCAGTTCAGCAAACCGATGCCAATCATCCCTACCAGTTTGCCCGAACAGGTCCAAACCCATAGGATTTCACCCCTGATATAAATGTATTATATATATATATAATGTATTATATGTATATAATGTATTATATGTATGTATATATATGTATTTTATATATATATATATATATATAAACAAAATAAATAAATAAATAAATGAAAAGTTCATGTCCAGGACGTGAGGGGTCTTTAGATATTTTCTTATCCCTCTTTCTGACCCATACAGTACCCAGATCTTCAATGGAAAGCAGACTGGTTGCAATTGTTTTTTCTTCATCCTAACTATCCAACTACAGTGATTCACTTAACAACTGTGGCAAGAAATGAGGCAAAATTCACTTAACAAATGTTTCACTTAGCAACAGCAATTTTGTGCTCAACTGTGGTTGTAAATTGAGGACTATCTATAAATAAATAGATACCAAATTGGTGGGAAGGTAACAGTACTCCATGACTTCATGCTGGCCACATGACCACAGAAATGTCTTCAGACAGTGCTGGTTCAATGGCCTTGAAATGGAGATGAGCATCTCCCCCTAGCAATGACTAGTGGAGTAAAATCCACAGGGACTCCTTTTTACCTAGCTTGGCAAAGAAATATCTACATGAAAACAACCAAGCTCAGCACACAACTAGAACCTTCAATCCTGAAGAATATATGTTCTCTTAATATTAAAAGTAAAAACGGCATTTTAAAAAAATATTAACACGCCATTTCAGCACAAAAATGTGGTTATTTGCATTAAGACTAAAGTTTAGTCTTGCTCTATATCCACTATCAAACCTTATTTACTGCGACATCCTGTTATTTATGCCAAACCTAACATTTGAGAAAAGTTAGTTAGAGCAATCAAGTGTGACAGTATTTTTAAACAAAAAATATGCACATCCCTTTTTCATAAATTCATTTTATTAATTTTAATTTCTGATACAATAATTCTAACGTAAGACTAGTTTGTATGCTATTGAATTCAGAAAAAAATGTACTTTTCTCATCTATTTACATAAAAACTTACCATGTGGCTGTTCAGATTATTACTGTATGAAAAGCAGATATCTGAGAGGCTATTGTTGTTACAACATTCAACAGTGCCATCAAGTCTTTTAAAACCTAAGGACAAAGGCAAAGGCAACTTATTATGTTTTCAGATATTATAGATACACTAGTCTATAGTGTACTAAGAACTCAACCATCACCACTTCCTGCAGGGTTTTTATCTATGTGTGGGTGGGGGTTTGTGCATATACAGCCACAGTTCCAGTGATAGTCAGGAACAGCTAAAAGTATCCATCAGTATCCATTTCCAGTGACTATTTCCCATTCATCTTTATAAAAATACTTTGATATAAAACAATAATGTGTAGGACAATACTAACATCTATTGTGGGGGTGGACTACTGAGGAAGTTGCAAAAGACTAATTCAAAAAAATGCACTGACACTCTGCTTTCAAGTCTCTATGACAAGTAATAGATGTGTTCTGAAATTTATGCTGTCCTTATATGTCCTCACAGTGCTGTGAGGAAAGCCAAACCAAACTCCTTCATGGATTATTGTCTTGTTGTGGCAAAGGGGCTTGCATAGTTCAATGAAGCTATGAGCTATGCCATGCAGGCAGTGGTGAAATCCAAATTTTTGGATTTCTGTGGTTCTGTGGGTGTGGCTTGGTGGGCATGGTGTGGCTTGGTGGGCGTGGCAGAGGAAGGATAATGCAAAATCTCCATTCCCACCCCACTCCAGAGAAAGGATACTGCAAAATCCCCATTCCCTCCCCACTCCTGGGGAACGATACTGCAAAATCTCTATTCCCACCCCGCTCTGGGGCCAGCCAGAGTTGGCATTTGCCGGTTCTGCAAACTACTCAAAATTTTTGCTGCTGGCTCTCCAAACTGCTCAAAATTTCTGCTAACAGTTCTCCAGAACTTGTCAGAACCTGCTGAAATCCACCTCTTGTGCAGGGCCACCCAAGACAGACAGCTCATAGCAGAGAGCTCTGACAAAACGTGATCCACTGGAGAAGGAAATGGCAATCCACTCCAGTATCTTTGCCATGAAAACCCCATGGACAGTATCAAAAGGCAAAAAGATATGATACTGGAAGATGAGCCCCTCAGGTCAGAAGGTGTCCAATATGCTACTGGAGAAGAGCAGACGGCTAGTACTAGTAGCGCCAGAAAGAGTGAAGCAACTGGACCAAAGCTGAAAGGACGCTCATCTGTGGATGCATCTGGTGATGAAAGGAAAGTCCAATGCTGTAAAGATCTATTCTCCATAGGAACCTGGAATGTAAGATCCATGAATCAAGGCAAGCTGGACGTGGTCAAACAAGAGATGACAAGACTGAATATTGACATCTTAGGAATCAGCAAACTAAAATGGACAGGAATGGGTGAATTTAATTCAGATGACCATCAGGTATACTACTGTGGGCAAGAATCCCTCAGAAGAAATGGAGTAGCCTTCATAGTCAATAAAAGAGTAGGAAAAGCAATACTGGGATACAATCCCCAAAATGACAGAATGATCTCAGTTCAAATCAAACCATTCAATATCACAGTAGTCCAAGTCTATGCCCCAACCACTGGTACTGAAGAGGATGAAATTGACCGGTTCTAAGAAGCCCTTCAGCACCTTATAGAATTAACACCAAAAAATGAGGTCCTTATCATCATGGGGAATTGAAATGCTAAAGTAGGAAGCCAAAAGATAACCGGAATAACAGGCAAGTTTGGCCTTGGAGTACAAAATGAAGCAGGGCACAGGCTGATAGAATTTTGTCAAGAGAATATGATGGTCATAGCAAACATTCTTTTCCAACAACGCAAGAGACGACTCTACACATGGACATCACCAGACAGTCAACACAGAAATCAGATTGACTATGCGCTCTGTAGCCAAAGATGGAGAAGCTCTATAGAGTCAATAAAAACAAGACCAGGAGCTGACTGTGGCTCAGATCATGAGCTTCTCGTTCCAAAATTTAGCCTTAAATTGGAGAAAGTAGGGAAAAGCACTAGGCCACTCGGGTATGAATTAAATCATATCCCTGATGAATATACAGTAGAGGTGACAAATAGATTTAAGGAATTAGATCTGATAGACAGAGTGCCTGAAGAACTATGGATGGAGGTTCGCAACATTGTACAAGAGGTAGCAACTAAAACCATCCCCAAGAAAAAGTAATACAAGAAAGCAAAATGGCTGTTTGAGGAAGCTTTGCAAATAGCTGAGGAAAGAAGGGAAGCGAAAGGCAAGGGAGAAAGAGAAAGATACACCCATCTGAATGAAGAATTCCAGAGACTAGCTAGAAGAAATAAGAATGCCTTCTTAAATGAACAGTGCAAAGAAATAGGGGAAAAAAAATGAATAGGAAGGACCAGATATCTGTTCAAGAAAATTGGAGATATGAAGGGAACGTTTCATGCAAAGTTGGGCATGATAAAGGACCAAAATGACAGGGACGTAACAGAGGCAGAAGAGATTAAGAAGAGGTGGCAAAATTACACAGAAGAACTATACAAGAATGAGATTAACATCCCTGATAACCACGATGGGATGGTCACTGACCTCGAGCGAGACATCCTAGAATGTGAAGTCAAATGGACCTTAGGAAATCTGAGCAACAACAAAGCTAGTGGAGGTGACGGTATTCCAGCTGAGCTATTCAAAATCTTAAAAGACGATGCAGTAAAAGTGCTACACTCAATTTGCCACCAAATTTGGAAAACTCAACAGTGGCCACAGGATTGGAAAAGGTCAGTTTATATTCCAATTCCAAAGAAAGGCAATGCCAAAGAATGTTCAAACTATTGCACCATTGCACTCATTTCACATGCTAGTAAGGTTATGCTTAAAATCCTACAAACTAGGCTCCAGTAGTATGTGGATCGAGAACTACCAGAAGTACAGGCAGGATTTCGAAGAGGCAGAGGAACTAGAGATCAAATTGCCAACATATACTGGATCATGGAGAAAGCTAGGAAGTTCCAGAAAAACATTTACTTCTGCTTCATTGACTATGCTAAAGCCTTTTGATTGTGTGGATCACAACAAATTGTGGCAAGTTCTTAAAGAGTTGGGAGTACCAGGCCATCTTATTTGTCTCTTGAGAAACCTATATGCGGGTCAAGAAGCATCAGTGAGAACTGGACACGGAACCACTGATTGCTTCAAAATTGGGAAAGGAGTCCGGCAAGGCTGTATACTGTCACCCTGCCTATTTAACTTGTACGCAGAGCACATCATGAGAAAGGCGGGACTATATGAATCAAAAGTTGGAATTAAGATTGCTGGGAGAAATATCAACAACTTCAGATATGCAGATGATACCACTCTAATGGCAGAAAGCGAAGAGGAACTAAAGAGCCTCTTGATGCGGATGAAGAAAGAGAGTGCAAAAGTTGGCTTGAAATGCAACATTAAGAAAACTAAGATCATGGCATCTGGCCCTCTTAATTCCTGGCAAATAAATGGGGAAGAAATGGAGGTAGTGACAGATTTTATTTTCCTGGGCTCCAAGATCACCGCTGATGGGGACTGCAGCCAAGAAATTAAAAGATGCTTGCTCTTGGGGAGGAAAGCTATGGCAAATCTAGATAGCATACTGTAAAGCAGAGACATCACCCTGCCAACAAAAGTGCGTATCGTCAAGGCTATGGTTTTCCCAGCTGCAATGTATGGCTGTGAAAGTTGGACCATAAGAAAGGCGGAGCGCCAAAGAATTAAGGCCTTTGAACTATGGTGCTGGAGAAGACTCCTGCAAGTCCTTTGGACTGCAAGGCAATCAAACCAGTCAGTCCTAAAGGAGATCAGACCTGACTGCTCTTTAGAATGGGAGTGGGAGGCACCGTGTTACAGTGATTCTCCTCCTATCTCTCTGGTCGGTCATAGTCGGTGTTGGTAGGACAGAGGTCGACCCCTAGGCCCCTCGTTTGCGGGGTGCCTCAGGGCTCGGTCCTCTCTCCCCTCCTATTTAACATCTACATGAAGCCGCTGGGTGAGATCATCCGACAACACGGGGTGAGATATCAACAATACACGGATGATACCCAGCTGTATATCTCTATCCCATGTCAATTCAGTGATGCAGTGGATGTGATGTGCCGGTGCCTGGAGGCTGTGAGGGTCTGGATGGAGTCAACAGGCTCAGACTTAACCCAGACAAGACCGAGTGGTCTTGCCTCCTAAAGACTATGTTGATTGCCCATCCTTGGTTCGGTGGGGGGAGAAATTGTCCCCCTCAGAACGGGCTCGCAATTTGGGTGTCCTCCTAGACTCACAGGTAAGATTAGAGCAACATCTGACTGCTGTGGCTAGGGGGACCTTTGCATAGGTTCGCCTGGTGCACCAATTGCGACCCTACTTGGATCAGGAGGCTCTCCTCACAGTCACTCATGCCCTTGTCACCTCATGGTTAGATTATTGCAACGCGCTCTACATGGGGCTACCCTTGAAAAGTGTTCGGAGACTACAGTTGGTCCAGAACACAGCTGCGAGAGCTGTCGTGGGCGCACCTAGGTACACCCACATTACACCAATTCTCTGCGAGCTGCACTGCTCCCTATTGCTCTCCGGTCACAATTCAAGGTGTTGGGTTATTACCTTAAAGCCCTACATGGCTCAGGGCCAGTTATCTTCAAGACCGCCTTCTGCCGCATAGCTCCCAGCAACCGGTAAGATCCCACAGAGTTGGTCTCCTCCAGGTCCCGTCAGCTAAACAATGTCGGCTGGCGGGCCCGCGGGGGAGAGCCTTCTCTGTGGCTGCCCCAGCTCTCTGGATCCAGGTACCTCCTGAGGTCCGGACCATCCCCACCCTTTTGGCCTTCCGAAAAGTGGTGAAGACCTGGCTTTTCCGGCAGGCCTGGGGCTGTTGATCTCGCTCTTATGATCTGGCGAAATCCGGCCATGAATGGTGTGAATAAGTTTTTAATGTTTTTAATATTTTTTAATTTTTCAATGTCTTTTTATAATGATTTTTAAAATGTATTGTGAGCCGCCCTGAGTCTTCAGAGAGGGACGGCATATAAATTGAATTAATTAAATTAAATTAAATTAGAAGGCCAGATCCTTGAAGATGAAACTCAAATACTTTGGCCACCTAATGAAAAGGAAGGTCTCACTGGAGAAGTGCCTACTGCTGGGAAAGATTGAGGGCAAAAGAAGAAGGGGATGACAGAGAACAAGGTGGCTAGATGGAGTCACTGAAGCAGTAGGCATGAGCTTTAATGGACTCCAGAGGATGGTAGAGAACAGGAAAGCCTGGAGGAACGTTGTCCATGGGGGCGTGATAAGTCGGACACAACTTCGCAACTAACAACTGCAGATGTGTTTTGAAATTAATGCTGTCCTTATATGTTCTGACAGTGCTGTGAGGAAAGCCAAGCCAAACTCTCCAAATTCATCAGCTTAGATTCTGCTCCAGAGCAAACATTGAAAAACTGTTAAAGGGCTTCCTCTGGAGTTACAGGAAGAGTTGCTGCCCCTTGGTGAAAACTACTTCAACCCACTGTTCCTTTGGGATTCTTCTTTCTCTATGGACCGATGACCAATTGGTGCCCTGGCTTATTCTTTCCCCATGCAATGTTCCCTTACTAAAACATTGGCTAACTTGTTTTTCTTTCTCTCTATCTTTCCACAAATATGAGTTTTGGGAGGTAAATAGCAGAGAAAGGGAGTCATGGCTGATTTACATTTTTGCAATCTCCTATTGGCTAGCTCAAAGGAATGCTGGCCAACTCAAGCAAATACTCAACACTCGGCAGCTGCCATGTGTTTGAATGATGAAGCCAAAAACATAGATTAATTTGCTACCTGGGAGACCAGAATATAGGAAGAGCCCAACAAATTCACAATATTATTTTGTACTAGCAGGCTCTAGGTCAGGAGTGTCAAACTCAATTTCATTGAGGGCCACATCAGGGTTGTGTTTGACCTCGGAGGGCCGGTGGGGGCTGGTGCCGGGATGGGCAGGCGTGGCCATGGTGGGTATGGCCATGGTGGTCATGGTCACAGGACCTGTGGTGGCCAAGTGCTAATACAGGACTTCCCTAAGACCCTCCCTCACTCTCATTATACAGGTAATCGAGTTACGAATGCAATACAGCAGTGATGGCTAACCTTTTCCAGACCGAGTGCCCAAAGTGCGCATGCCCAAACCCCCAAAATGCAATGCGCACTTGACCCCCACGCATTTACACACACCCACTGCATGCATCCCAACCCCCCTGCATGCACGTGCAGCCTCCCCACATGCGCCCCGCCCCCATGCATGTGCAGCAGAAGCCCGAAGACCAGCTGGCCGGTGGGAGGCACGCGCGCATGCACGGTGGAACTGAACTGAGGTGATGGCTCGTGTGCCCACAGAGAGGGTGCTGCATACCATCTCTGGCATATGTGCCGTAGGTTCGTATTACGGCAATAGAGCCTGGCAATTACATTGGTAAGCTGAGGATACATTACGGCAATAGAGCCTGGCAATTACATTGGTAAGCTGAGGATACATTTGATTGAATCACATGAAATGAACATGATCACTCCCTGCTTTCCTTAATGCATTTGTTGATCGAATGCGCAGGTCATTAAATGCACATGAGGTATCTCAGAATGGGAAAGAGCATGTGGGGCCTAGTCCTGGAGCAGGCCATCCAAGGTCTCCCCCAATCCAATGAGATACCTCATTCTCCCCTGGGGTCCCCACAATTGCTTCTCCCCCCCATCCTGCCCTGCTGGGTCTCCACAGACTGGGCCTGTTTTGCTAGCGTCCAGTATTCCACTTATTCTTCCCCACCCCATTTCCCATGGATTACTTATTTTTTGAAGATCTCAAGAGCTCTAGAAGAGATGACCCACTGGCAGAGAAGCCAAAGTGTTTTATTCAGATGAAGTAGTAAGAATGTGAAATCTAAGGAAAACATTTTCGCCAGCTTCTAATAAAACATTTCGGCTTGGGGCCATGTGGCCAGCAGGCCTCAGTAGTAGAAAAGGCCTGGGGAGGACCACAGCAGCCTCCCACTTCAGGACAGTTTCAGGGATTAAGGCTTTAGCAGCAGCCAATCAACAAGAAGCTTGCTTCCTTTATCTCATTGGGCTGAACTGCAAGCCCCTTGTTGATTGGCTGGCACACCCCAATCCCTGAAGCTGCTCTTTTGAACTAGCCTGTCAGTAGCAAGCAGGAGACTGCTCGTTGCTGGCCAGTCTGGGTGTCAGGGTTCCAAGTTAATACCCTCAACAGATTCAAAAATCCAAGGTAGGCATCTTCCTCAGGGTATAGATTTATTAGAGATGTCATATTGGCACATTTGGGGAAAACCCGAATCTGAAAGCCCCGTGTTTTCCCCACCCAAAGTAAAATCAAAGTTCCTTTCCCTCAGTCCACATGTGTACCATGTGGTCCAATCCTGTTACTGTCCCAACTCCAGTTGACAGCTGTTCACTCCTCGGGTGCTGGCAAGACGTCCTTGATTCCCAGGGGAAAGAATGTTGTTATGGTTCCAACTCCCACACTATCTCCATCGCCTCCCTCCTGTTCCCACAGCTTGCCCAGCCACCGCTGTGCCAGCCCTGAAGACTCCCATTTAAAGATGGCTCCAGGGCTGACACTGGGCCCAAACTAAGACTGCAGGCCCTCGTGGCAGAGAAGCCAGTCTTTTATTCAGATGCGGAAAGCTGTTTTCCTTACATCTCCAGATGATTCTTCAGTTATATAAGAACAATCTACAATGTATCATAAAAGTACAATTAGATGCAATCTAGAAACAATTGTACCTCTAGTTGAGAAGCTTAGCTGCTGTAGTATTGATGATTTTATGCAATAGCCATTTTGTGGCTTCTGATAGATCTTTCCCAGGCAGGCATTCCAGTCTTCCACACTATAAACTGAGCAATCTTGCAGACTGGTGACAAGGTCACCAACAAAAAGACCTCTAAGACCATTAGCAGGAGAATCCTAAAAAAGAAAAAAAGTTCATAAATCCTGGACCACCTAGTTTTGTTTTGTTGGCACGGTAGTTTAACCACGATCTGAAGAGGAATGAGTGAAACAAACTTCTCTTTTAACCAAACCAATCAGTGGAGTATGAAAAAAATGTGTTTTCTCTTCTGATTATTCTGGCCATCCAGATTGATAAACAGTGATTAGCACTAAGTAAAACAATATGAATAGCCACTTCAATATCAGTAACATACTCCTGATGCAAATGTGATTTTTCTCAGTATCAAATCTTTCCCATTTTAATAGAATGCGTTTACACTTAAACCTGATTTATTAAATTCATATGTAGACCTGTTTATATTTCATTATATCACATAGGATTAGATTTATTTCATATACTTCACTATTAACACCACACATATCAGAGAGGCCTGGCCAATGCTGCAGCGACATGACGGACTCTTTGGGAGCTCCCAGAAGATCTGCCGATATCTCCGCTGTCCAGTGTCCTGAGTGACCTGTCATCCTGTAGGGATGACGAACAAGAGGAGCATGGTCCGACTGGCACAGGCATTTATGACCGCCAGCCCTGCGTCTCCATTAAAGCCGCTTTGACAGCGCAAATCAGCTGTCAAACGGCTGAAAAAACTCTCCTTCGGGAAAAGAAGGAGAGGAGAGCTGGTGGGTGAGAGTAGAGCCCCCCGAAAGTCCTCTGGATCATTTCCAGAGGCTTGGAGGGTGAGAGCTCCTCAGGCAGCCCGCCAAGAAGCTCCGGAGCCAGGACGACCCTCCAAAAGCAGGGCGAGAAGCCGCGATCCGATCCTGCTTTTAAAAAGTGAGTTTGACTGATTTCAAGTGCAGGCAGAGCGGAAAACAAGAGAACAAGCCTTAAAAATACAGAGCTTAACTCCAAAGTTACTTTGTTTCAATCTGAATCTTGAGTGGGAGGCGGAAGATGGCGTCTTTGTTAGGGCTTTGAAAGTGAAAGCCTGAAACGAAAGTGCTTGAGAACTCTGCGCTGGGAGAGTGGATTAGCTGCCTATTAACTGCTGGGAACTGAGAGTGCGGAGGGAAGAGAATAAAGGAAAAAAACTACCTTGTTTGGCAATTTAGAGACTATAATTTAACATCTTTAAAGACTTTGTTGCTTTTAAAGAAAAAGTGGGGGGGAGAAAAAAAAGGCTTCTAGACAAGTGAAACCAGGAGTTGCTAAAGGAGGGGGAGGCTCCCGAGTTGTGTCACTGGTGACACAGAAAGCACAACTTCCGGCTGATTCACAGAGCCAGACCCAGAGTCAAGACGCAGCACTGAATGATTTTAAGGAAGCTATGAAAGAAGCCATGAATAATCAAGCAACAGCAATGAGAGAAGCAATGAACAATTTAACATTACTTGTTGAAGGGAAGTTTAAGAAAATAGAGGAAGACATAAGTTCGATCAAGGGAGCAGTTGCAAAGGAGCATGATAAAATAAAAGATGATATTGTTTTTGCTGTATCAGGACTATCAAATCTTGTTATCCAGCTTGATGGGAAAGTTGAAGAAATTAATGAAGCCAATTTAAATCTGGAGAGTAAAATGGGTGATGTCATGACCAGAACAGAGAAAGTGAATGATGAATTGGTAATGTTACAATACAGATCTATGGAGTTTGCTTTGAGACTGAGAGGCCTGAAGGAAAATAGTAAAGAAAATTTAAAAGACATTTGTGCTGATGCTATGGCTGAGATAATTAAAGAAAGACCAGAACATGTGGCAATCCAAATTGATAAAATTTACAGGGTTAATTCCTGGTTGGCAAAACAAAGACAGCTGCCACGAGATGTGGTGATTTACTTTACAACTAGGAGGATCAGAAATGAAATTTTACAAGCTTCTTACAAGAATAAAGTTCAGGTGGCTGGGCAAGAGGTGGTGGTTTTGAAAGAGATTCCTCCAAAGATGTTGAGAAGCAGGAAAGACTTTGGTTTTCTGGTAAACGAGTTGAGAAATCAACAGGTGGCATATAGATGGGACGTTCCAATTGGTTTAATAGTGACTTATAAAGGAGAAAGATACCGGTTAAACACAGTTTGGAAGGCAAAAGATTTTTATGTAAATATGTTACAGGCTGGATACCCTCCCTCACCGGGGGGGGGGGAGAAAGAAAATGGAGATGTTACAACAAGAAAAAGATACAAACCTACGCTGAAGTTGCAGCTGGAGGAATTATTATGGAAGAAGATTTGGATCTTGGGGGTTTACCCCCAACTTTGGAACCACCTAAGAAGGGAGAGCCGAAAGCACAATGACTGACCCGATCAACTTATAAATTGCAACAACAACAACCAAAAGGGCAGCAATTTCAAGATTCATCTCAAGAAGTACAAAAAACAGAAGCAGTGGGGGGAGCTAGGCCGAAGAGTAAGGTGGAGGAGGAGCTTCAACTGATGCTTACAAGGTTTCGAAAGGCTAAAGATGGCAACTAAATTCCTATCTTGGAATGTTAATGGCCTAAACTCACCACAAAAAAGAAAGTATTTCACTACCTGAAACAATTTAACAACGATGTTATTTGCTTACAAGAAACACATATTAGATTATCAGACCAAAAATATTTGATAAATTCAAGATTAGGTACAAATTTTGTGGCATCAGCGCCAGAGAAGAAAAATGGACTAGTTATATATGTAAGGAAAGGACTATCAGCTAATCTAATTGAGGCAGATGATCAAGGAAGATATATTGCAATTGAATTACTGACACAGTCTGGAAAAATGCTTTTTATTGGAATATATGCCCCTAATCAGCAACAAGACAAGTTTTATAAATTTTTACATACTAAAATAATACAGTGGGACTATAAATCTTTTATACTAATGGGTGATTGGAATGTAGTAATTGATACGCAGAAAGATAAAAAAAGCTTATCAAAGACTTCAGCACATGCAAAACTACCTAAATCTTTTTTTGACATGATGGAAGATATAGAATTGAGAGATATTTGGAGAGAACGTAACCTGGAGGAAAAAGATTTTACTTTTTTTTCTGATAGACATCAATCCTTCTCCAGGATTGATTTTATACTAATCACAAATGATTTTATTTCCAGGGTGAAGAAGACGAAGATATGTCCAAGATCTTTAACTGATCATAGTCTGGTCTGGATTGAACTTGAACAGGAGAGGGGAGAAAGGAGGTCTTGGAGGGTGAATGAAAATTTATTTAGATATGAAGAAAATGTAAAGGAGCTTAAAAAACAAATGAGAGAATTTTTTGTTATTAACATGAATAAGGGTACTCCTATGGAAATGGTCTGGGATGCTAGTAAGGCTTATATGAGGGGTATCTTAATACATATGAATAATAAATACAGACTAAAACAACAGAAGAAGCGTAAAGAGATAGAGGAAAAAATAAAAAAGAAAGAACAATTACTGATATCTAATCCAGGTGATAAGAAAGTAAAAGAAACAATAAACATACTACGAGGGCAATTCAATATGTTAATGGCTGATCAGGTGGCAACTAGTTTACAATATGCTAAACATAATACATTTTGTAATTCCAATAAACCAGGTAGGTGGTTGGCCTACATGTTGAGGAAAAAACAGAAAGCACGAGTCATTAGTAAGATAGAATATAGAGGTAAGGAAGTTTACCAACAGAATTTGATTAAAAAGGCTTTTTTGGAATTTTATACAAAGCTATATGCTAGTGACTCAATACAAGGTATAGATATAGACAGATATCTAAAGGAAGGGAATATTTTGGAACTAACGTTGGAACAGAGGGAAGGATTGAATCAACCAATAACTTCGGAGGAGATTGTTGCGGCAATTAAGCAGTTAAAAATAGGGAAAGCTCCAGGAACAGATGGACTAACAGCTGTTTATTATAAGAACTTACAGCTTGAAATGGTAGAGCCGCTTAAAACTCTATTTTGTAAAATTCAATCAGGGGGAGGAGTCCCACCCTCTTGGAGAACAGCCTTTGTTTCATTGATTCCGAAGGAAGATCAAAACTGTATCAAACCTGAAAATTTTAGGCCAATTTCACTTTTGAACACGGATTACAAAATTTTTGCTAAGATACTATCGAATAGACTAATGCCAGTTGTGCAACAAATTATTCACAATGATCAATCAGGTTTTATAAAAGGGAGACAGATGAAATATAATGTTAGGCAAATTATAAACTTATTGGAATATTTGGAGAAAAATAATCAGGTCCCTGCAGCGTTTATATTCATGGATGCAGAGAAAGCATTTGATCGACTGAACTGGCAATTTTTGTTTAAAATAGTAGAAAAAATGCACTTTGGGGAGTATTTCATACACTCAATTAGAGCAATATATCAGGAACAAACAGCACAAATAATAATTAATGGAGGTTTAACAGATGTGTTTAAAATTGAGAAAGGTACGAGGCAGGGTTGTCCATTGTCGCCATTGCTGTTTATTTTAACTTTAGAAGTCTTGTTGAATAAGCTACGTGATTCTGACAAAATAAAAGGAATTGTAATTAGACAGCAGGATTATAGATTAAGAGCGTTTGCAGACAACCTGGTTCTTACTTTATCCCAACCTATAGAAGTGGCTCCCTATATGTTGGATATAGTAGCTGAATATGGTAAAGTATCTGGATTCAAAGTAAATCTACACAAGACAAAGATGATAACTAAAAATTTATCTAAACTCAAAGAGAAGAGTTAGGGAGGATAGCGGGGTTTGAAGTAGTTAAAAAGGTTAAGTATCTAGGAGTATATACTGCAGCCTCAAATACAAAATTGTATAAAAATAACTATGAAATTCTTTGGCAAAAAGTACAGAAAGAAATGGAAAAATGGAAAAAGTTACAACTACCACTACTGGGAAGGATAGCAGCAATAAAAATGAATGTATTACCTAGGTTTTTATTTTTGTTTCAAATGATACCAGTGCTTTAAAAAGATGGAAATCTTTTGGAATGGCAGAAAGGGGTTAATATTTTTATTTGGGCTGGGAAGAAACCAAGAGTGAAACTGAAAATTATACA